TTGGTCGCGTCTGGCGGGCTGGGGCCTGTGGTGGAGCGCACATTAAGGAGGCAGCTGCAGCTGTTGTGTAATTGAATTTTTTTTTTTTTGCATAAAATTTCCGGCGTATAAAAATTTCGACGGAAATATTTTTCCAGCGGAAATTTCGTCGGAAATGCGCCGGAAATATTTCCGACGCATTATTTTGCGCTGGAAGTCCTTTTACAACGCGCGTGAAACCGGCGCAAAAATTTCCGCCGGAAATGCTATTTTCTGACGGATTTTGACCATTTTTTCGACGAAAATATCCGCCGGAAAATGACGTTTTTCCTGTAGTGCAACGATAATGGTCGAGAGAAAATTCGACGACATTTGATGGTCGGGCATAAGTTCAACGACACTTAGTGGTCGGATGGAAGTCCAACGAAAATCCAAAGATAGTCAGTGGTTGGGCATAGATCTAGGGTGTTTAGTTGGAGAACATCAAGGGCACAGTGGGAGTGGTTCGAATGGACGGCCGATATCGATTCCCTGGATCATGGATCATTCATTTAGTATTTGAGTGACCTATGATGTCAGAATTTGATTATCTTGGGCTCATTGAATTCTTCTCGTCGAGCCACTCAATTCGACTATAAGCATGCCACATTTGAAAATCGTTTGGTCGTCCAATTTATGATTTGAACCTTCCAAATGTGCTTTGGGTATTTGATTTGGGCCCATTGGGCTCGAACTAGGTCGAATTTGGTGTCGTTTGGTTCTACTTTTTGAGATGTTCAACTTGACTATACACTTATTGAAATCGGAGTTCGGATGGATCCAAATTTAATTTTGAAAGTTTTTAACTTTATTTTGCCTCTGGATACGTGTTTAATGAAGATAAATTATATATATATAATCAAACTAAGAGAATTTCACCGTTTACTTCACTAGTTCTGTTTGTATTTCATCTCTTAGCTACTTAGCTTACACCGAAGTTACTATTTACTTACCTTCAATGTAATTTTATCTTTTTCTTGGTTCCCTTATTTGGATCCTTTCATTTTATTTCATCATGTACTTAACGTGACTTCTTCTTTGTATTTGGCTGAGGCTTATGAATTAAGTTTGTTCAGAAGATTGCGATTTGCGACTCCATCTTCAGAATATGTAACACCCTCAGTGTTTTCCTTCTCAACGATACTCGCACTTGCGATAGTGACATACAATACTGCGCCAATTTTCAAACTTCTTTAATGTTTAAGCCCATCTCATCGTTTGGGTTTTAATGGTTTCTTGCTGAGATAGTGTAGCTGCTAAAGTCCTCCTTTACCATTTATGTTTTAATATCTCTGAAAATTCAAATGATCTCTGAGTCTTTCCATCGAGACTTTGCTATCTGCTCGAACCAACACCAGTACTTTTATCTTACTTTATTTATTTTGATCTAATGGCAAATCTCAGCAAAACACGAAACCTCTAAAAGCAAAGTCCAACTAGTGGATTTCAGGAGCACAAATCCCTTAAGAATACGAAACCTGTAAAAGCAGAATCCAGCTAGCCAAGTACACACCTCCCGTATATTTCTATATTCAGATATTCAGGGGTGTCAATTTCGGGTCACGGGTCGGGTTCGACCCGAATCCGAAATTAACCTGGCACTATTCGGGTCAACTCGAAACCGACCCTGCTTCGGGCCTAGGTCAACTTGACACAATCCGAATTACCTGGGACCGTGAAAAAAATTGCTAGTTTACGCAAAAAAACGGATCAAACTTCATTTTTCATGTCAGAATGGGTTGAAAACGGATCAATCTCAACTTTTCGGGTCAAAACAGGTCACTTTCGGGTCAAAAGGATTAACCAGAACCTGACCAGATTTTAGGAACCGGTCGAATTGTTAAACCCAAACCCGACCCATTTCCGATCAGAGTTGATCATAACCCGAAATTTTCAGGTCAAGTTGTAATTGGATTTTTAAATCATATCAAATATTGAAGCTACTATATATTGAGAGATACTTTCATGCAGGCTTATAAATTTTTTATTTATATTTTTTATGTTTTGCAGTACTAAAATCACAAAAAACACTTTAAAATTATAAATCTTCCCTAGCTTTCTCCCTATAAATAGCTATCACCATCGTCTAGTTCAGCAAGCTAAGCAAGTTCTGCCAATGACGACGCTCTTATCTATTACTTCCTCAAAACCCATCATCTCCTCTTCGCGCACCTTCCAAAACCAAACCTTCCTCCTCCACTCCAGGAAAACCATCGTCCGCCATCCCAAAAAACTCTCCTTTCGAGCTTTAGCTTCAAAAAACGATATTGCGGATGCTGCCAATGGCAGTTCCTCTCGCCGTAACATCCTCATTGGCCTCGGCGGCCTCTACGGCACAGCCACTGGCCTTGCCATCGGCGCACCAGTCCAACCGCCTGATCTAACACAGTGTGGACCTGCTGATTTTCCATCTGGCGCCACGCCGGTAAACTGCTGCCCTCCGGTGAACTCTATCGTTGACTTTACTCCTCCGCCGGCTTCTTCGCCTCTCCGAGTGCGCCCCGCCGCCCACCTCGTCGACGCAGAGTATGTGGCCAAATACAACAAAGCTGTTGAACTGATGAGGAATCTCCCCGCCGACGATCCGAGGAACTTCATGCAGCAGGCCAACGTACACTGTGCTTACTGTGACGGCGCTTACGACCAGGTTGGGTTTCCCGGCGTCGAGCTTCAGGTCCACAACTGCTGGCTTTTTTTCCCGTATCACCGATGGTACCTCTATTTCCATGAGCGTATTCTTGGAAAGCTTATTGGCGATGACACTTTTGCGCTGCCCTTCTGGAACTGGGATTCGCCGGACGGGATGCAATTGCCTTCCATCTATACACCAAGTACTTCGACTGTCACTGATCGCAAGATTTTCTACAAAAAAAAATATATTTTTTTTAATATTTGAACGCCAAAACAACAAAATTGAAATAAACATTTTCTATGATAAACTTTTGATAATAATTTGGAAACTTTTTATCAATGAAATTAGCTATCGCACATGATTTTATTTGGTTTTTTTTTTTAATTTATATTGGTAAGAGGAATACTTTGATGACCAAAAAAATGGATAGAATTTAAGAGAAAATTGGTAAAATTACTATTGAATTTTTTTTTTAAGTGAGAATATATTGAGCCAATTTTAATAAGGTAGGCTTTAAAATATTGGCATATTATATTGCTAATATATTTAAACAGTACAAAATTTTATGCTTTTAATTTACAGAAAAATTTACAAATATTAAAAATATTTAATATAAATACATGATAAAAATAGTAAAACAAATATCATGTTAATTTTTTAATATTATCTTCATAAAAACAAGGTCAAATTATCCTGAACTAATTTCTTACAATATTGTTTTAGCCTCATCTCAAACCCACACACTTGAATCTAATAAAACATTATTGTTAACTAAACTCACTTTATTATAAATTTTTTTATGTAAGTAGCTTATCACAACTATAAATTTTGGTGAAAGAAGAATTTTTTTTATTAATTTTGGTTACTAGGATTAAAAAATATCATTTTTATTTTGAATTTATTTACAGAGAAAAGTAATACCATAGATAAAAATATAATTTAATATCAAGTAGTTTTATTTGTATTTTGTAATATAAATTAAAATTAATATCATTAGCAACATTTTTCATCTTACCCACCGTTTTAGTGAATGGTGAATACTCAATATGTACGTTTATAAACTTTAATAATAACTTTATAATAAATAAATTTAATAAATATATATTTTTATCCACATAATAGAAAAGTCACCATAATTTATTAGGGTGTGCATATTTCTCTTTTATGTGTTGACTTCTTGAAAAAAAATTAGGATGATCATTCTGCCTCAGAAAAAAATTCATCAAAATAAGATATTTTAAATAAATATTTAAACTTATTTTTTATGAATTTAATTTTAATGAGAATAAATTTAAACGGCATAAAATTTTCCTTAAGGTGAGTTCAAAATATTAAAAATTAAACAAATTTATATTCCACTAATCACAACTTAAATTTAATATTTTATTTAAAGCTCATCTCATAAAAAATTTAGCGAACATATTTAATTCAAAATTTTAAAAAATATTTAACAAATTATAATTTTTTGGAACCATCTATAAATTTAGCACTAAAGGTCTATTTGGCACAACTTCTAGCCGTTTTGCTTTTCATATAATAATTATAATTTTATTTTTGCTAAAATTATCTCATAATTAAAAAAAATTTATAGAAAAAAACTGATTTTTATAACAATAATAGTTAAGTTAATATATTTGCAATTGAAATTATAAAAAATTAGAGCAGTCCCAAAGATACCCTAAATAAACATAAAGAATCACATAATATATTTATATGAATATGAATTAACAATGTATATTACAATTGACTTTGCAGCTTCTTCTTCCCTCTACGACGCTCTCCGCGACCCGGCCCACCAGCCTCCGACCATCATCGACCTCGACTTCAGCTTAGACACATCGCCCGACAGCGGCCAGCAGCTAATCGACGATAATCTCAAGATCATGTACCGACAAGTCGTCTCCAACGGTCCGACCTCCGAGCTCTTCTTGGGCGCCGCCCTCCGAGCCGGAGACCAGCCCGACCCCGGCGCCGGTTCGCTCGAAAACGTCCCACACGGCACTGTCCATCTCTGGACCGGCGACTCGCGCCAGCCCAACCGTGAAGACATGGGCGTCTTCTACTCAGCCGCCCGCGACCCCATCTTCTTCGCCCACCATTCAAACATCGACCGCCTCTGGGACGTATGGAAATCTCTCGGCGGCCAGCGCCAGGATTTCACCGACACCGATTGGCTCGACGCCGGCTTCCTCTTCTACGACGAGAACGCACAGTTAGTTAGAGTAAAGGTAATTTGTCACACAAAATTCATTATTTCTTATAAATTACAACTCTTAATTATTAATTAGCATAAATTCCAATTAAAAATTATGTCTTTTCTTCTCTTTCTTAAAAGCTTAAACTTTCAACGACAACATTCATTTTGAGCTCTAACCCTTATGTAGGACTTTAGGATCAAATTTGTTAAAAAATCTTTTGCTCAGGTGGATGAGTGACTTTACCCTTAGAGATAGGATAAGAAATGAGCATATACGTGAAAAAGTTGGAGTAGCTCTAGTTGAAGATAAGATTATAGAGAGTCGCCTTAGATGATTTGGTCACATAAAAAGGCGGCCTTTCAATGATTCGGTTGAAAGAGTAGAGGTATTAGATTTGACTTATGTTAAGAAATATAGAGGTGGGCCTAAAAAGACTTGGTTAGAAAATATTATGAATGACCTTTCTTTATTAGATTTAAATGAGAATTTGATCTTTAATAGAACACAATGAAAAAAAAAAGGATTCATGTGGCCGACCCCATTTAGTGGAATAAAGGCTTGATGTTGTTGTTGTATTTGATTTTTTTACAAAATTATTTTTTTTTCAAATAAGCTTAATTTTTTGACAGGTAAGAGACTGCCTCAACACGGAGCTATTGCGTTACAAGTATCAAAACGTGGATAACCCGTGGGTGAATGCGAAATCGGCACCTGCCGGAACTGGAAGGCCGGTTAGGCCGGCCGTTGAGCCGACTTTCCCGGTTACTCTTGACAAGTCGAATGTGACGGTGACCGTGAGTAGGCCGCCGACGTCGGGGAGGACAGGCAATGAGTATGAGGTTTTGGAAGTGCAAGGAATCCAGTTTGACAGTACAGTTTACAATAAATTTGATGTGTATGTGAACGCGTCTTCGGCTGCTGTGTTGAGGCCGGCGGTGTCGGAATGCGCGGGGAGCTTCGCGCAAGTGCCGCATCTGAATCATCAGGGGAAGAAAAATACGATGAAGACGACTCTTAAGCTGTGTATAACGGAGTTGCTCCAGGATATTGGGGCGACCGGCGACGATAGCGTGGTGGTGACGCTCGTGCCGCGTACAGGAGCGGTGACTATTGCGGGGGTGTCAATTTCGTTAGTTTCTTGAGTGAGAAGATTGAGCCTTTGACGCGCGTTTTATACTGTAATAACTGTTTGAATAAAAGTGGTGGTGCGCCGCCAAGCCGGTGGGTTTATGATATTTTCGGGAAAATAATATTGTTTTTTATTTGTGTAACCGTATGAATTAAATGAAAATGTAATGTATTTGAAATTTATAAAATAAGTTTTGTTCAGTAAAATTATACGATTTTTTTTACATGTCTAGTTAACAAATATTTATATTATTTAATTCAAAAAAAAAACACTAAACTATATTTAAAAAAACTGTGAAAAGAGATTTTAAAAATATAGAGAAAAAGTGCATTTTAAAGTAAAAAAAAAAAAATTATGAGATTTTTTAAATATGAAATTGAGTACAAAAAATTATGTAAATTAAGCTCATCTCTAAGCTCCCTATTTATAGATTCTAGTTGGGACTTGAGTACTATAAGATTGATTTTATAAGAAATAAGAAAAAAATTACAATAATTATCGATATATCATCAAAAAATTATCTTGAGCGGGCATGAATCTCGAGGCAAAGTCAAGTTGGGAACTTTAAAAATTAAATCGACCATCTTAATTCCAATTTCAACAAACTTACAGTCGAACTGAACGTCTCGAAAATACGAACCCAATGACACCATATTCGACTCAATATGAGCCCAAATGGGTTTAAATCGAAGAACCGAAGTGCAATTAGAAGGTTCAATCTATAATTTGGATTACCAAATAGTTTTCAAATATGACATGCTTATAGACGAATCTAGCGGCTCGACGAGACAAATCTAACGAGCCCAAGATCATCAAATTTTGATATCATTAAGACATTTAAATGTCTAGTAAACAACCCACAATCAAGGGATTCAACATCATCCGTCAATTCAAACCACTCACAATTTACCATTGATCTTCATCATATTTATTAGTCATGTCACTCTCATAAAATTATAAATAGACCCTAAAGGGGGCCGAAGTAAGGAGGAAGGGAGCCCAAACAAGAAGAGAAGGAAGAGTTATCATGCCACCAGTCTCCTCTTCGACCACCTCCCGGCTACCGAACGACACTGGACTTCTGCCCGTAGCCGGACTTTCGTCAGATTTCTACTTGACGCCGTACTTTTGTCGGATTTCTATCTAACGCCACTTTCGTCCGTCCCAAACTTTCGTCCATCGTCATATTTTCATCGGACTTCTACTCGACACTGAACTTTCACCTATCGCTAGACTTCTGTCCGTCGTCAAACTTACATCAGACTTCTAATTGATGCCAAATTTTCACATGTTACGGGACTTATGTCTATCATCAGACTTTCATCATACTTCTGCTTGTCGTTAGATTTCTAGCGATAGGTGACTCCGGATCCGACTTCGGCCTGTCAACAAACCTTCCGATGTCCTTCACCAAACAATATTCTTTTTGACCACTATCACCCACCGACTACGATCTTTCCAACCTCCATCACCCACTAAGTAAAGTCCTTTTGACCTTCACCGCCAGTCGACTTCAGCCCTTTCGACTTCTGTCGCCCACCGACTACGATCAATTCGATCTCCGTCGACATACAACTATCTTTTCATCCTTCGTCGCCCGCCAATAACTATCCTTTCGACCTCCATTTTCCACCAAATACGGTCCTTCCGATCTCTTTTGTCGATTATGGGCCTTCCAACCTCCATTACTAGACAACGGTCTTCCCGACCTTCGTCGCTCGCAGACTTTGATCTTGCTGACCAAACGATCATATCAATACTGATTCTTTTTATTCCACCATGTAATGCACTCTATATGATGTATACTTGTTACATCAAGCCAAGACCTTCCCCCCAAAGAAGAGCCTCATTTATAATCTATCATAAATACTAGTGGATTTATTCAAACTAGGTCAGACCCTATGATTTTTTCCCTATTCAGGGTTTTTCACATAAAAATCTTAGTGTCTATTTAAATGTTGCACCCTCTCTCTTATATGATTATATGTTAGATCTTTGTACAAAGTTAAGACGATAAACTTTATATTTCTCTACCTATGCTAATATTTAAGAACACAAAAATTATATAGCATGGTTAGAACATCATATCCCGCTATATATATATATTACAGAGCCCATCGTCCTGGGAAGAATGATAATTATCATCCAGACTAATGCATCCAGAGAGAATCATCCTGGGACATATGATAAATATCATTTGAATGAATGCATCTAGAGCCCATTGTCCTGGAATGAATGAAAAATATCGTTTGGACGAATAGTACTTAGAAAAAATTTTGACCCTCTCTATTCGTTCTTTTTCTCGTTTGGGAGTTTAACTGATCAGATCATCCCATACGAACATGATTTGTACTGTACGATCAGTTTTAAAAAATTATGAATTTTAACTCTCCCCCGGTGTGTGTGTGTGCTAAGTTACTCAATTACAATCACACTCTCTTAGACTCGAATAAAAGAAAAATATAGACTCCAATATTACAAAATATTTTAAGCAGATCTTGATTTGAAGTCTTCAACAATCTGGAGTATGATTTCCCTGAAATATTAGTACACACAAGAACAAAAACAACTCTTCCAAAATATGTTAGGAGAAAATAATTATCAAAACAATAATATTTGGAATCATCAAAATATACAAGTTGTAAGAATGTAAAATATATAAAGCTAAGTAGCAACTCTTTCAACAGCTTGATGATAGTGATATAAGGATACTAGACAAAAAATTCTCAAAAGAAGAGCTGGAGGATGTTATTAAGAAACTGGGTGCTAAGAAGTCTCCAGGTAATGATGGGATTACTTATTCCTTTATTAAATCTTATTGGTCGATAATTTAAAATGATGTGTGGATGGCTATAAGTTCTTTTTACAACTCTGGTTTTGTGTGCCCTTTTTGGAGACAAATATGGTGTTGATTCCAAAGGAGAAAAGTCTTTTGATACCTTCAAATTAATGGCCTGTTAGTCTTTGCAATTCCATTTATGAAATTGTGGCAAGAGTGAGATTAAATAGGATGAGTTATTTATTTCCAAAAATTATCTCTGAAGTTCAGTATGCTTTTGTTAAAGGATGGCTTATGTCTGATCAAATATTGCTTGCTCAAGAATTGTTTACTAAATTTAGATATTCCAAATCTAAAAAGGGCTTGGTGGCTATCAAAATTGATATGCAGCATACAAAAAGAGGGAAACAGAGGATTTATTCCACCGTTTGATTTACGTCGAGCATAAATCCCATTTGGCAGGATTTAAGCTTAATCCTGATCAAATACTCTATAAATCCTATTACCAAACAACCCCTAAGAGATTATAAGAAATGCTATATAAAAATATATTTTCACTACAGGAAAACATGCGATTACCATCAGACTTTTTGGCGGAAAATTCCACGCTGGTTAGCGCGGCGCAGGTAACGACGCATTATTGCGACGAAAAATCTACGGCAGATTTTTCGACGCAAACTACGCCAGAACTTTTTCGGCGTCAGTTGCACCGGTATCAGCGTCGGCATAAACCAACATTTTACCATTTCCGTCTCATGTTACGGCGGAAAAGCACCGGCGCGCTTTCTGGTGGATATGACGTCGGGGTATTTAAACTCAACGAAATATAACCGGCGCAGGTTCCGCCTAAAATATCTCCGGCGGAGTTGACGCCGGAAAATCCGCCTGCGAAAGCCCTATTTTTCGAGACCGAGCCCCTCTGGCCCGTCACTTCTTTTCTTCCGTTCTCTCACCTCGCCTGTTTCGCTCGTCGCCCTCCGTCGCTCGCCGTAGATCACCGTCACCGACGGTCACTGGACTTTGCCGACGGTCACCGGATTTCGCTGAGGCATCCTAGCTTTCGTGGTCGCGTTCATCTTCGCCGACGCTCGAGATCTCGACGGAACGGAAGGTTTTTTTTTTTTTTGTTTCTTTGGACGAATTTTTTTCCTATTTCAGTTGGATAACATAAATGATTAGCTTATCTTTTTTTGCTTTAAACTTACATTGAATGTAATTGAGCCTAGATTTTGAAAGAGATATTATGATAGTACCAAAAAATCAATTAGTTTAGGGTTTAGGAGTAGAGGCTGATGAGATCATGTGCTAAAAGGAGATTGTGGTAGAAAGGATGGGTCTTGGTTTCACTTTGATACCATTGATGATGCTAGAGAAAAAAGATTAGTAGTATTAGAGAAAAAATATGCTTTGTATCAAAGGTTTACAATAAGCACATTTTTTATGTATTAGTTTTGGAGGTGATTACAAAGCATATTCAAGTTGTTTGGTTAAAGTGGAGGCAATGTTTAAAATTGTGTATTCGGGTATTGAGGCGTTTTTCATTCGTGAGGCGAGGCGTAAGTCTCAAGGCGTTTTGAGGCGTAAGCCAACATGAAATATAGTTCAACTCAATATTCTATCTTTCCCAAATCCCAATATTTTTTTCATTAACATAAAATTTCAATTTCTAAAAATAAATAGCAATGACATATCACATATCCAATGTCGGGCATTTACTTCAAGTTTTATATAAGTTTTAATATATAAAGCGTGAGGCATAAGCATCATGCCAGTGAGGCGAGGCGGGCCTCAACCAAGTTGAGGCGCAAGCCTCATAAAAAACACTCGAGTCGTAAGCATCGAGGCATTTTTTACTGGAACTACACAAAGGCGGGCCTCAAGGCGAGCCTCATATTGCGCAATTTTAAACCATGAGTGGAGGAATACATATAGAGATGAGGATGCTCTTTAATCTTAGAGACATTAATGCTAAATGGAGACAATACTTATGGCCTATTGTGTGATTGATAGAAAAGTATTGTAGAGATGAGGAAGCTCATGTACGTGAATGAGTGCCTTTATTCTTAGAGACAATGCTAAATGATCATAATTTTCTACAAGCACCCTATTTTTTTACATCTATATATAATCAATTTTAGATCTACTTAAGCACGATAATCCATTACTTATTTGCTCTTATATGTAGGTTATGGATATTAGAAATCAAAGAAGTTGGATGTATAACCGACTATCTCAAGGTCGGAAGACATTAACAGATGAATTCATTAATGAGGTGAACTTTTTCATTCAGCAAGCGAAGCGATTACCCAGCTTCATATCAGAAGGAAAGTTTTGATGTCCATGTTCTAAACACAAAAATCTAGTGCACCTAGAACCATATGATGT